GATGTCCTTCCCGAAAAACGCGCACCCATGGGCTTCCAGGGGATGCGAGGAAAGAAGGACATGATGTCCTCATTGGAGACCGAGGAATTCTCCAAAAGAGCACCCATGGGTTTTCAGGTATGACCTATTCAACTATTCACTTTGCTCTTTGCCTGTTCAAAAATTTTTTAGCAAGTAGTTACCATAATTATTCACGAGCCCTCCCCAGACTTAAAGATTAATGATGGCATCGATATCGTCCTTGGTTGTCCTTGTAAAAAATATCAGAGATTCTTAATATTGCCGACAGGGTATGAGAGGGAAGAAAGATCCTACGGGACCTGATCTGATGGACAATATCATTCAAGATGAATTTGAGAAGGGAACGCCCATGGATCTTCAGGACTTGAGGAGAAAGAAGGATCTACTTACATTACCAGACATTAAGGAAGCTCTTTACCAGGAGGAATACGATAAGCGAGCGCCAATGAGGTACCAGGGGATGCGAGGAAATAAAGAATTAGAAGAGGTAAGCTCTTTCAAGATTTAAATAATTTCCCGATGTTCTAATTGAAGTCGTGTTTTGACAATTTATGGTTAATACAAATTTCGTGTTTTTTTATTCATCGTCACATCTCGGATTTTAATCCCTTGCTCTGCAGTTACACACGCGAGGATTATTTACTTTCTGCTCCCCGACCCACCCATATCTACCCTTTTTCCCTAATGCCCTTATTTACGAATATGAATGACTCACCCTTATCTGGAATTATAATATTCTCAACTCGAGGGCATTACAAGTTTTGTATGATAATTTTACGAATGTTCCAGTTATAGTCGACATTTTTCCGTCCATTAACTCCCCCTCATCCACAGGGTTTCACTCCTGCGAGGGTCGGCGAGGACCTTCGGGCAATTTTCAATGTTTTTCCTTTATTTTTCATCGCATGCCCGAGGGAAAATTCAGGTCAGGTCGCGTGATCTTAGTTCAGTTACAGATTTTATTCTGAATTAATTATGATTTTATTATTGAGACCATTCACTTGCTCTCTATATATGCCTGAACCTATGTATGATTTATTCTATTCCTGAACCTATACATGATTTATAGAATATAATTTTCCTGCGAAAAAAATGCCTGAAAGTGGAATCGAACCTGTAGTCTGTCGCATAATAACCTGACGCGTTTTCCCTGAGCTAAACTATTGACCTGACGCGTTTTCCTTGAGCTAAACTATTGATAGCTCATAGAACTATATCCTATATTAATTGGATGTCCTCAGGAATTTTTCCTCTGAGATTCCTATTGTATTTTTATTCCTGAATGCATTGCAGTTCCTGGAGGAAATGAAGCGTGCGAGCATGGGATTCCATGGAATGCGTGGAAAGAAAATTTATCAGGATGATTATGAAGATGAGTACGAAAAGCGGGCATTGCCGATGGGATTTCAAGGGATGCGTGGCAAACGGGATGAGTACGAAAGGGGACGGAATAAGCGAACGTCCTTGTACTTGCCGGACATCGGTCACAAGAGCTTGATGGACCGACTGGAGAACATGAAGTTCAAGACTTTTCTAGAGCTCCAGGTAACTTTACTTCCACTATTTTCACGAGACCTAAACATCGACGGTATTTACATTATTTACCGAGTACATACCGAGTACATATCGAGTATATCCCACAACCTGTTGCATAATGGATACCTCTCGCGGCGGAAATAATCTGATCTGTTGTTTTCTCCGGAATTTACAGAGCGATTCAGTCACCATTTCCCTATGGAATTAAATTCTACTCATTACATCGGCTTAATTATTCAATTCGTTGGAACAGGAATTATTTTTAAATAGTTTTATCATCCCGAGATCATTGGCATCATGGATTGAATTGAATCATGGATTGTGGCATTTTTTTTTTTAATAGCTCAAGGAAATTTTGTTTGTCTCGCAGGAAATGGACGGTCAGAATGATTTGTTCGACGGTTACTATCCTGAATACGCAGATCCCGATGGGTACAAGAAAAGAGCGCCCATGGGATTTCAAGGGGTTCGTGGTAAGAGGGATGAAGATAAACGTGGGAGTATGGGATTCGTCGGGATGAGAGGGAAGAGAAATGTCGGTGGTATTTATGGAGCTGAGGACGATGAATATCGCGAGGGACTGCCCGCTGATTTCCTGGGTCAGTATTTCCGTAATCAAAATCAGGGATGATTAATTAAAAAAAAAATTATTCCACTAGTCCACTATTGTTTCTTTACCACACGTTCTGAATTAATTTATATTATTGTTAAATTAACATTGAGAACATTTTTAGTTTAGAGAAATAATTATTTTATTTATTTATTGTTTATTTAATTGTTATGTTATGTGTAAAAATTGAAGAAATAAAGACTTTGAAAAATAGTGCTGTTTTTTTTTTGGTAAAAATTCCGGATTTTGGAATTTGGATTGAGGTACTGAAGGAATCGTTGAAAATTAAATTCCAGACTCGAGGTACATGAGTGACGATTTGCAATTTAACAAACGATCGGCTCGCGGAGTGTCTGGTGTTAGGGGAAAGAAAATTCCTCGCTGGGAAATGAGGGGTACATTCATCGGTGTCAGAGGAAAAAGATCACCTGACAGTCACGATAATATGATGAAAGTGCTCGATGATATCGACAGGATTAATAATGACTCAACGACAAAATTCGGTGAGTAATTAAACAATTGAAATCGTCCTGCAATTACAAAATAATTAAATTTTTTTTCAGATACCCAGTAGGGGTGTAAACATTAGGATATCCTTCCGACATTCCGAGAGCTAGATTATTTTAGATTAATCCACCCGAGCCGATTTTATTTCGATCAGAAATTAGAAACTTCTCTCTAAAAAAAAAATAACCACAAGGGATTTTAAAAATCCTAAATTCGCGAGTGACTAAAATAAATAAATTGAACAGACGAGCTCTTTATGAAAGCCTACATCAGTATTACTGTTACAAAAAAAGTAAATAAATAAATAAAAAATAATTCTGTCGTCAGTATGAACTCTCATGAGTAATTATAAAGGCGACTAGTAGTCACATAATTTCCAGTGTCCTCTAGTCCTGAAGAACTATATAATAAAAATATGAAATAAATTATTGAAGTAATTGAAACGGAATCATAAGGAGGACTTGAATATTCAGGACGAGAAATGCATAGGTACTATATTTTTCTCTGAATGTTAAATCCTCGTATCTGTCTTTCGAGTAGAACTTATTAGTCGATAGAAATCGATTGGCTGATTACAATTACCTAAATTATCGGTTAAATCGTTACCATACTCTAGTCACCAAACAAATCGGATGAATAATAACTGTCACAAAATATTATCTCTTGAAAATTATTAAAAATATATATATAAAACACGGAGGGAGTGGCCCTAATTAATTTTCATTTACCCCACCAGAAAAAAATTTATTATTAGAAATTGTCGGGCGATCGATAATTCGCGATTTTTTTTTTAATTTTAAGGAAAACTGCTTGAGTTTTCTATTGAATTTTTTCTGGTTTATCCACTTGACTTTATTTTAATTAAAAGGGTTATTTTGAAAAGGTCAAAGTGTCAGAGCCCACTCTCCTCTGCCTCCACATAATCCCCTAGATTAGTGAGAAAAGTTAATCATTAGGCTGGAAGAGGAACAATATTTGTGTTCTAGTGTATCCTGACGTGATAATGAGTCTTGTACAATAAAAAATAAATGTAAATTCCTCCTACTCTCGTGAGGAAATAGAAAAAATCGATTTCGATAATTCCATCTTTTATTCTTCATCTCAAAATCTCTGAAACTCCGAGGCTTGCTTCTCCAATTCCTGGAGAATGTTGTTTCAGGCATTTTCAGATGAAAATTCCTGCACAATTAATTCCTCTGGCAATAATTAATTATAAATCATTCTTCAAACTGGGATTTTTCAATAACAAATCGAGAACATTATGATTATTTCTCTTCTAATTATTCATTGGAAAGGACAATGAGAATATGAGAATATCAGAATATCATGAATTTTCCCACAATTGTTAATTAAAACTGTTATAACAAAAGGAGAAAAATTACCCCGTTTTATTCTCCATAATTCATCCGATTTTATCCTCTCCCCTGCTATTTTCCATTAATTCCCCGATAATTTATCTTGTTTATAATAAACAATTATCATTATAGAGGTGCACTAAAGTATGGTAAACCAACGGTTTAACAATAATTAGCTTTATTTATCCTAGTTTCAATAATAACGAATGCAATGAGGTGATAAATGACTGAAGAAAGTATAGAAAAAAAACCAAAAAAAATATGACGATGTGGAGGTGAAAATCAATTCAAGAAAAATTATATTCTGATTGCATAATAAACATAAAACATACATATAGTATATTTCGAGTGTATATAAATGCTGAATCAACGGTGGTGGTAGGCAAGATATAAAAAGTTATATAGGTATTATGAAATATCGAGAAGTGAAATATCAAGTACGTGTTACAGCGATTATATATTGATGTAATGTATAGATTCAACATGTCTCTCTCAGCAAATTAAACTCGAAATCATTTGAGAATTGTGAGATTACGTATCATTTTATTTCTCTCCCTGTTCAATCGATTGGGAATAATGACTAAAAGTGGTTGAATTGATTTTCATTATGTGTTTATAATTACTTTGTAATCTGTTGGTGGATGGAATAAAGTGTTATCGCAATTTTTTCCATTATTTTTTGAATAAATAAATGCCTGTTAATTTCAGAACTATTTTTTCATTCATTTAATCTAGTCTAATTTCAGGAGGCTTTATATTTTATTTTTATGACTTTGAAATAAATAATTTTTCATGATTATTCATTTTTTATTAGAAGAATTACTGGACTCGAGTGGGTTTTCGTGGAAATAAGAAGTATTTTTGCTGTTCGTGTATTTTAATTTTCCCGATGAAAAATAGCTTCTGCATTACCCATTAAATTGTTCAATGAGTTTTCCCCGAATGCTAGTGAGGAGTTGTAATGGATTTTTAAAAGATTCCATTAAAAATAAATGACACATTTTAAGTGCAAAGCCGACAGCCCGTGGAAACTGGTTCCCTCGTCGTTCAGAGAGGGGATTCCCCGCTCTCCTTCGCGAAAACTACGACTCATTCACTGAATTTGTGTCTAACCAGTCATTCAATTCCACCGATCGAATTTCTTCGGAGGGATTTCCCGAGGATTTTACTATTCCCACACGACATGTCATTTCAAGGAAATGTCGCTGACCTTTACCTTGAATTTTTCGCAATTATCACTTCCCATTTCCACAATGAAATTATCATCAAAGAAAGTCAATTGTCTGTACGCGAAAAATGCAATTACTTTTCATCAACCAGAAACAAATGTTTTTTGGATAGAATTTATTAAGAGATTCAAGTCCTAGACTTTTCGCATATTTTTTTTATATAGTGCAATCTTTACAGCTCGCCTTGAGGCGATGATAAATTGAAAAAATTGAGGAAAATGGGGATACACGGGAATTTTGCGGGTAATAACAGGAAAGCAAAAACAAATGATTCATTTAATGACTAGTGGGGATTATTTATCATCTAGCGTGTACGTGCGGTTTATGAATAATTTGAAAAATACTCGAATGAAAATGGCATGGAAGTGCTATGAGTTGATGATTCGGTTCACATTTTAACCTCGTCATTGCCCTTGGCTCTGAGAATTCCTATAAAAGCTGAGGTGATGCTCTTTTAATGCCAGTGCATCGACGAACTTCAGTGGATTCGTGTCGTGACTGTTATTTATTTATAAATATCCTTCAACAATTTTCAATTGCAGAATGGAAAAAACTGGATTCACATACGCATTAATTGGTAATTTTCATTGTTTTCTATCAATTAATTTAGATTTTATTCAATCGTTAATTATCATTTTCATAAAAAAAAAATTGAATTAGAATTTTCGCGAAAATAAATGGTAAACATTTTTTTTTCAGGTGTTTTCCTGATGTTTGTGGCATTTTCCGCGGATGCGCGACCTCAGGTGAGTTTAAATAATTGATTTCAACGGATTGTAAATTATAATTAATCATTTCTAATAATATAGTTTCAGAATGATTTAGTGGAAGTCGATGGATTTGTATTTGACGGACCGGTGGAAAGATCGAATAAATTTCCCAATAATAATCGCCGGACATTTCCCGATTTTCCACCGCCAAATCCAAATCCAGAGATCACTGGGACCACGACAACCACTCCATCTCCAGACATGACTAGATGTCTGCAGAATTGTCCGGTGAGGAAATTAAAATATTTTTTATTTGAATCTTCAAACTTTGAGTGGGCAATACGCGGAATTCATTACCGCAAATTAACTCGTAATTATGGAGAGAAGTTTTTAACTATTCTCGGATTTACATTCACGTCACTAAGTGTAACTGAAGACGATGATCTATCCGGTCTTTAAAAATCGGAATAACCGGTTCTGTAATATCAACTACTTTTTTATCAATCCTTGAAATTCTGGCTTCCTTTCCGTTTCTCATTGTCCAATTATTATTAAATGTTTCCGTCTTCTCATTTTTTTAAAATGGAACCAAAAATTCGCGAAGAAAACGCGAGATTTTTGTATTAAATTGTCATAGGAAAATGAAAATTTGTTTTAAAATTAATTCTAGGTAACTGCACAATACAATCCAGTTTG